TGGGGTGGGAGTTGGGAGGAGGGGAGTTATGGGGGAAAAAAAGAGGAACAAATGTAATAATCTGAACAATAAAGATTTAATTTAAAAAAAGAAGAAGAATGCCAAAACCGGTTTCGCTCAGTGGATAGAGCGTCGGCCTGTGGACTGAAGGGTCCCAGGTTCGATTCCGGTCAAGGGCATGTACCTGGGTTGCGGGCACATCCCCAGTAGGAGATGTGCAGGAGGCGGCTGATCGATGTTTCTCTCTCATCGATGTTTCTAACTCTCTATCTCTCTCCCTTCCTCTCTGTAAAAAATCAATAAAATACATTTAAAAAAAAAAAAAAAGAAGAAGAAAAACCCTAACTTAACTCTGGTGCCGTGTCACATATAGAAATTTTTTGATATTTGCAACCATAGTAAAACAAAGAGTTATATTTTTGATATTTATTTTATATATTTAAATGCCAATGACAAAGAAAAATCAACCAAAGAATGAGTTCGCATGTCACCTCTGACATGCGTGTCATAGGTCCGCCATCACTGCCCTAGAGTCTAGGGCCTAGACTGAATGGTTTAAACCACAGACCTTTACCTCACACAGTCTGGGAGCTGGAAGCCAAGATGAGAGTGTCAGCTTGTTGGGGTTCTGGAGAGAGCCCTCTTCCTGGCTTGCAGACGGCCACGTGCTCTCTGTGGGCTCACATGTGAGAGAGTATCTCTCGAGAGTGTCATCTTATAAGAGCACTAATCCCATCACTAGGACTTTACCCTCATGACCTAATAATCTCCCCCAAGTTCCATTCCCAGATACCATCACACTAGGGGGGTTAGGGCTCCACATATGAATTTTGAGGCGCACAACATTCAGTCCAGAGCACTTAGCTCAGGTGGTATTGCTATCAAGGAGGCGACAAGACCTCGGTGTTTGTCTTCTTGAAGGAAAGATTTCCACTATTTTGCTGTTGTGAATAACCCTGTTCTGAACATGGGCGTGCAAGTATCACTTGGAGTCCCTGCTGTCCATAATCCTGGATATAGAACCAGAAGTGCAATTTCTGGATCATATCATAATTCTATTTTGAATTTTTTGAGGAATCACCATGCTGTGCTTCATTGTGGCTGCACTATTTTACACTCCTAACATCTCCCCAAGCCTTCTTTATTGCATATTTTGCAGTGGCTCTGTGCATGTTCCATATGAGACCAGGAGATCAAGCTTGTTCATATATTTTTGAAATTAATGTCTTTGCTTTTTTGTTTGCTTAAGCTATCAAGCTCAAGAGGGATGCTTCAAAAATCTCTCTCTTTGGTGCTGTCATTATCTAATGTAAGGTACTTTACATTCTTTTCTTAAAAAAAAAACCTCACCTAAATATATGTGTTTTTATTTAATTGACTAGGAGAGGTGAGAGAAACATCCATCCGTTGCCTCCTGTATGTGCCGCCTTGGGGGATCAAACCTGAAATCTTTTGGTTCATAGCATGACTGAGCCATCTGGCCAGGGTAGTATTTTACATTCTTTTTATTTCCCCTCATTCCAGGTCTTCAATCTTCAAATTCTTCACAGCATTTTACATCAATAGCACATCTCAACTCTTACCGTCGCATGTTTGAGTAGTTTTGTCTTTTTTCCCTTCATTGATTGTGAGACTATGTTTTTAAGCCCATACACATTTAGAATTGTTATGTTTTTATGATAGGGACTTAGTTATTTCTAGTACTGCTTTCTACATTAAAGTCTAAGTTGTCTGATAATAAAAGGGTTAAACCAACGTTCTTTCTGGCTATTTACACCCTTCAATTGGCAACATGTTGCACTGTTTATATTTAAACTAGAGGCCTGGTGCCTGAAATTCATGCACTGTGGGGAGGGGAGGGTCTTTCAGCCCAGCCTGCACCCTCTCCATTCTGGGACATCCCTCTCACAATCTGGGACTGCTGGCTTCCAACTGCTCATCTGCCAGCCTGCCTGATTGCCCTTAACCGCTTCTACCTGCCAGACTGATCACTCCCTAACCACTCCCCTGCCAGCCTGATTGATGCCTAACTGCTCCCCTGCTGGCCCAATTGCCCCTAACTACCCTCCCCTGCCAGCCTGATCTTGCTCCTAAGTGCCCTCCACTGCTGATTACCCCCAAATGCCTTCCCCTACTGGCCTGATCTTGCCCCCAACTGCGCTCCCCTGCTGGCCTAATCACCTCTATCACCCTCTGCCTCAGCCCCCACCAAGATGGCTTTGTCCGGAAGGAAGTCGGACATCCGGAAGATGCCCGGTCGACCTGGTCTAATTAGCATATTACCCTTTTATTAGTATAGACTAGAGGCCCGGTGCACAAAAATTTGTGCACTTGGGGGGTCCCCCAGCCCAGCCTGTGCCCTCTCACAGTCTGGGACCCCTCAGGAGATAACGACCTGCTGGCTTAGGCCTACTCCCGTGTGGCAGAGGGCACGCCCAATCCCTAGGTGCAGCCCCTGGTCAGGCTCAGAGCAGGGCCGATTGGGGGATTGGGGCACCGCCCCCTGTCACACTCAAGGCAGGGTCGATGGGGAGGTTGCAGCGCCACCCCCTGTCATGCACAGAGCAGGGCCAATCAGGGGGTTGGGGCGCTGCCCCCTGTCATGCAAAGAGCAGGGCCCATCAGGGGGGTTGGGGCTCCATACCCTGTCACACACAGAGCAGGGTCGATCAGGGAGTCGGGGAGCTCCTCCCCTGTCACGCACAGAGCAGGGCCGATCAGGGGGTTGAGGAGCTCCCCCCTGTCACTCACAGAGTAGGGCTGATAGGGGAGTTGGGGTACCGCCCCCTGTCACACACAGAGCAGGGCGGATCAGGAGGTTGGGGCGCTGCACCCTGTCACACTCAGGGCAGGGCCAATGGGGAGGTTATGGCTCTCCCCCGTCACACACAGAGCAAGGCCAGTGGAGGGGTGTTGGGGCGCCACCCTCTATCACCCACAGAGCAGGGCTGATCAGGGGGTTGGGGCGCCGCCACTGTCACACTCAGGGCAGGGCCGATGGAGAGGTTATGGCTCTTCCCTGTCACACACAGAGCAGGCCCGTGGGGGGGCGGGAGGCTTGGGGCGCCGCACCCTGTCACACACAGAGCAGGGCCGATCAGGGGGTTGGGGCACCGCACCCTGTCACACACAGAGCTGCAGGGCAATCAGGGGATTGGGGGAGCTCCCCCCTATCAGGCACAGAGCAGCGCCGATCAGGGGGCTTGGGGTGCCGCACCCCGTCACACACAGAGCAGGGCCGATCAGGGGGTTGGGGCGCCTTCCCCTGTCACAAACAGAGCTGCAGGGTGATCAGGGGGTTTGGGTACTGCGCCCTGTCATGCTGATCCCGGTGCCGGGAGGCCTCACTGCTCCGCTGATCCCAGTGCCAGGAGGCCTCACTGCTCCTCTGCTCCCGGTGCTGGGAGGCATATTACCCTTTACTATATAGAATAGAGGCCTGGTGCACGGGTGGGGGCCAGCTGGTTTGCCCTGAAGGGTGTCCTGGATCAGGGTGGGGGTCCCCACTGGGGTGCCTGGCCAGGCTGGCTGAGGGGCTGAGGGCTGTTTTCTGGCTGGCGGGTGACTGAAGCTCCCAACTGCTCCTTTTTTTCTTTTCTTTTCTTTTTTTTTATTCTGGGCCGGCTTTAGCTCCGAGGCCTCGCTGCTGAAAGGATGTTTCTGGCCTTTACCTTCTGTATTTGATACAATGTTACAGTCCAGCTGGCTGAAGCCCGGCTGACTGAAAGCCGGTTTCTGGGGTTTTGTTTAGCTTCTATATTTGCAACATAGTTGCTTAGAGTTGCAGCTGAGAGGCCGGCAAGTCAGGTGGGGTTTGTTGGAGTCCACCGTCACTGGAGCAAGCAAGCCTCCCTGTTCGCTTCAGTGCATGGCTGCCGGCCACCATCTTGGCTGACAGTTAATTTGCATAAGGATATGCTGTTTAGCCAATGGGAAGGGTAGTGGTTGTACGCTAATTACCATGTTTCTCTTTTATTAGTGTAGATAGATTATATAGGATAGAATTGCTTAAATTGGGGGGGGGGGCTTTTTCAGCAGGAAGAGATGCTGTTGGCAGACAAAAACACATAATCCCTATATCTGGACTGATAATCAGCCATATGTACTATACTGCCAAAGTGGTCTCATATTAGGTTCTTATTGATCAGATTCTATGCCAGTCAGCATCAAAAGCTCTGCCTCCTAGGCAGCTATTGTCTCCTGGCACTTCATCCAGATTTGGTTCTAATTGGGTGGTTTCTATGCCAGTCAGCATCTCTGGGCCTATCTCTGGGCCTGATTAAAGAGGCAGGTCTGATCTGCAGCCCATGGAGGCTGGAGAGAAACAGAGGCAGGACTGCTGGCTAAGCTGGGAGAGAAAGAGAGAGGCAACAGTTGATCAACAGCAGCCACAGAGGCTGTGGATCAGACCCTGCCTCTCTCTCTGCAGGCCTCTCTCCAGGCCTGATCCCCAGCCCCCTCAGCAGTCAGTGCTGGGTCTCCATGGCAACCCAGCACTGACTTGTGTTTGGTCAAGCCTGCAGTCATTAGGGACCCTGGCTCTTGATAGATAGATAGATAGATAGATAGATAGATAGATAGGTGTAAACACGTTACTGGATTCTAATTCTTATCCCGCCTGACAATATTTGTCTTTTGAGTATTTAGACCAACCCAGTCCAATAGGATTGTAATGTGAGCCATCAATATAATTAAAAATTTTTCAGCAGCCATGAGGTTTTTAAAAATATTGAAATTAAATTTAATAATATATTTTATTTAACAATATATCCAAAATGTTATCTCTTCAAAGTTCGGACCATCCACATTTCAG